AAACTCGACCTGGTACGGCAAGTCAGAAACTTTGTTTGTCTTCTCCTCAAATAGTATTGACTGACACATTGTTTCATCGCGACATAAGCTTTCCCCTTTCAAAAACAAAATAAGTGATAGTCTTTACATGGCCCACTTTTGCTCACAAATCGACGTCAGTTTCCTTTACAATACATTTCCTCGTCATACTACTTCCCTTTTTGTGAAAACTTAATTTTAATTGTTAGTGACAGACCTCTTTCTAAAACACCAGAGGACATATTACATTAGACAGAATCGTCGCTAACCATCCGGATATCTTCCGTCCCCAAAAGAAAGGGCCAATTTTCACTAACAACCAACGTTTCCTAAGTCTTAGGCCACAAGTTCACTTTCTGTTTGTGTACCTCACTTTCATTCACACATGACAAATGAACATAAAAATTCAGAATATTTCACCCGACACAGTTATTCTCCTGAAGAAATCTTTTGCCAACATCTCTTCGTGGTTTTAATTTCAACAATCTTTCTGTTCTATTAAATGTGATTTTTCAATTTCTGTTGACCAACAGAGACAATTATCGTCCACACACAGCGCATTCGCTAATGCGAAAAGCTTTATGAAAACAAAAGAACAGGCATTTAAAATGCACAGAACAACTGTCAAACGAAGTTCCCACAAATCAGGGTAGAAATGAAAATAATAAACGCCTCGTTTGCAAACCAACTCCTGGAAATGGAAGGCGGTTGTGGCAGTTCACCCACGGACATAAAACCGATCGACAAAAAAAAACTATTGACGTGGACAGCCTCAACGCTGCATTTGTTTGTCCTTCAAATAGTGTTCTGCCTTTATACCCACAGATTGCTTATCCACAATAAATCCTGTCTTTAATGAGGAGGTGATTCATCGTAGAACTAAGAAAATCGTGAATACAGTAGACTCTGTGGGTCTTGCAACATCAGTGGATAGACATGGCACTGGTCCACTAGCAAACATGTTCTCATTTATTATTATTAAATCTACGCATACCTGTTCACTTCCACTATCATGGATACCTTACACTATTGTTCCCATCGTTAAATCATCTTCATTCATTATTTTATTTAAACGTTTTCGTCCCATCGCCATCATTTCCACTGGAATTAGGCTTGCAGAATGTGCTGCTATCTCTCAATTGCGGTCTGGTATTAATGTTTCTAATGAAACCCAATCAGTTTGCGCATAAGTCAGATAAATATCCTTTGGAGGCTGTCTCTTCTCTAGTGCACTTTCTTTTTAAATTTTCAGATGGTTTCCCCAAATCGTTCAGTTTTCCTTGATTATTTTCCCTTTTGATTCCGTTCCACTATCTCTTCTCAAGAAGCTGCAGTCTCTCATTTGTTTCACCACGCTATTTTCGTGTTTTCTTTGAAAACTGTTTCGCCTGAAGTATTCAAAGAACGAAGGCGAATTTCACTGTTTCAAAACCGTGTTTTTTTATAATTAGATCGGGATTCCTTCATGTCGTTGTGCTTTCTCGTTGCATTTCATTCTCACATAATTCAGCAACTTACTCTTTATTCCGCCAGTCCAGATCAAGAAATATGCGAATTTTGTGGTGCTATTTCAAGCCATTTGAAACCAGTCCGATACGGAGATGTTTCCAAACAGCTCAGTACAAGTGCAAATATGCTCTAAAACAACCTGGTCTTCAGTTAAATGCTTCTAAATTCTTCAAAGACAATTTGATCTTCTGTGACGCGAATATTCATTGGAACCCTCAATCATCACCTCGGTATCCGTATCCATATTCATCACCACCAAATATCCAAGAGTCACCACGATCAGTAATATTCTTTGGTTAAATCTGCAAAGTTATTCATTCATTTCTGTTTCAATGTTTCTGGATGTGAAAGATTCGAATCGAGTTCAGCATTCTCAAAATCTCATATGTTATCAAAAAGTCTCAGATGCTTTATTGTAGTATGTTCATGCAATTGGACCAATGGCAATTCAGTTTTTCACCATCAACCGGAAGTTAAAATTTCAATTCCTTCAACATCTGTGCAACATATCTTTGTTCAACCCAGCTGATGGAATCGGCCAAAAACCAAAACAAAGCTGGTTAATACGGACCTCGGGAGCCGGTTTTCTTCCTTTGCTCAGACTGTTTACATGAAACAAGAGAACAAAGCGCCAAATTGATTGATTGATCAACCAATCAATCACTGTCTTCCGCCGAATCTGGAACAATTTCTTGAAAATAATAACAAAGGTTCAACTAATTTTCGATATTCGTGCTAGAGCGGCACATGGTTTACATTTCACTTTAAACAATTGCAACATGCAACATTCCCTGGGCCCCAAACTCATTGAAGTGTGACACCCATGGAGCCTCATACACCATCAGGTGATTAAAAAGAGAAGTGTTGTACCATGAGATAAAATTTCGCTCTATTGTTGTGTTATAATCAGGATAATTGTGCAAGCTCAACACGAAATATGGGACAGACAAACGGTACGACTTTTATCCATTATTCTAGGTTTACAGTATTGTGGTGTTCCTGACCTATGAAATGACGCAAACCACGGAGCGACAAGTTACAGTTTTCGGACAACTCTTATGAATCAAGCTTCCCAGTTGACGTCAGCAATGCGCGTACGTGTCACAACTTCTGTACTATATAGCATAAGTCGACTGTACCAACCAATCAGAAGTCGTGCGGCCCAGATAGAAGCTGAACAACGACAGAGATACTAAAATGTGACTGGCAGAGACCGGGATAACCAATGGGCTTGTTTTGTACATATTATTTAATCCCGATTGTTTCCTTCAATAAACGAACTACTACTCCTGTGGCTCTTTTCTCGTTTCTCGGTTAAGTGGAATATTGCGCGCAAGTACGAGTGTGATCCAGCTCTTACACCTCGTCCGTGATTCGTGTTCAGTGCGTAGTACTATTACTACGATTCCTACAAGTGTGTATGCCAGAACCGGTAATACATAGCCTGTAGCCAGTAGGGATTATCAAATCGTCCAACAGTGGTTAAATTTGAATGAATAACAGTACAGACACAGTGATTACTAGAGTCATTTGGAAATCAAAAGTCCCGGTAAGGCAGCTACAGTAATTTAGCACAAGTGAATTTCGGTGCTTGACAGGAAAAAAGGCTATTTATTTACAAGTATTCCCCCCACCCAACACGTTCATTGATCACCTTGAAAGCGCGACTCTCTCTCTGGCTGCGGCGCAGTGAATTCTGTCGTAATTCTGAAGAGAGGAAAACGTTCTTTGTGATGAAATTCTGTGGAATGATCTTCAAGGAGTAGTATACGGCTGCACACGTTGAGTTTACAGGTGGGACTCGAATCACGAACCTTCCGGTTGGTATCACTAACTTTTACCCTACAGCTTAGTGATCAACACCATTTCAATGAAGCTGAGTTCACTGACATAAATATCGATCTTTATTCATTCCCTATTAGTTCACAGTACTTACATCGATCTTATCTATGCACTTATCTATGCATTTCCCGGGGTTGCTATTCATGTATAGATCTTGTAGAATAACTGCTAATATACTAAATATGACTCATATGCTAAATCTAAAAACTAGAATTCTATAATTTATGGCAAGCAGTTAGCCTACAGGTAGCCTACAGAAATAATGACACATGAGAAAAACGAAAAACAAACATCCAATTTTACTATCAATTGAGTTGTCAACAAATCAGTCGGGTTGAGGGAATTTGTTGGAAGAGTTCGAACTTATCAGCGAACACATCCGAATCTGTGATAAGATTTTCTCTCTCGCTCTCTCGCTCAAGTTACTTACTTAAACGAGGTGTCAGATTTAGATACATCGCCAGTTGTGGGATATGTCATGCAGCTGTAACGAATGAGTGAATCGTGGGCCATGTGAACAGCTGTGTACCAGTTTTTAGTCTGACGACATTCACCTCGTTTGCTCAAATTCGCTAACATTGTCCACAGATGCATGTGACACGTTGTCGTTCGGGCTTCGTGTAAGGCAAAGTCCTACGATTCACAAACTGCACTTTTTGATAATTGTACATTACTCGAATATTGATTGGTGGACAGCAATATCTATCCGCGACTAAAGTAACGTCAAATCCGACAGATGATCATCGTGAAACAAAATAATGACTATCTCTGAAGACGACACATGAAGAAAAACGAATTGGGAATTCCGCTTCACCCTGACATGAGCTGGTTGGCACAGTGGTACCACACTCGCGTCCCATGCCATGGGTCCGGAGTTTAGATCCCGAACGAGACGGTAGATATGCACTACTGATGAGCTCTAATGCGGGCAAAATTCGAGTCTAGCACTTCCGAGTGCATGGTTGACTAGAAGAGTTGGGGGCTGTGAGTGAAAGTGAAGTCTGAAGGATGGTCAGATCTAACTAAATAGTTTCAGCTTTTCTCTCTCACTCATTCTTGTAAATGTATATATAGCCCCTCTCGCTCATCTAATGTTCTTATTGATTTTTGTGACTCTTTTTCAACTACATTGATTGAATATGTAGATACTTTAGTCTGTATCATTTGTGATGACTTCAATAACTCCGATACCCGTCTCTGAATCACCTTAAGTCATCAGAACATTGATGTCTTTCCCAATAGGTTTGATGCACACCTGGATTTCGGTTTTATCAACTTTCTCAATTTATTTCTTGTGGAACACCGTCCCCCATTAAGGATGTCTGATCACTCTATGTTAAAGTTTCTCCTACTATCTTTAGCTGAACGAACCATCGTCTCTTTATTCGAGGTAGTGATCATAAGCTTCAAGTAAGACTGCGTTATTGCATAAAACCTCACGATGTTAAGGGAAATGATTAGACACTCCGATTTTATTTTGTTTTCTGATCCCAACCCTTCCGTCTTCTGTGATCATTTAACAAGCTGCTTAAACTTTTGTTACGATGTTTGTTATGCCTCAGAGCCAATTTATATTCGCCCCGATCGATTCTCTTTCCCACACCTAAAACAACTCTATCAACTCCTTCAAGATGCATAGGCGCGATGAGGTGCGCTCCATTTCTAAATCCATCCGGGCTGAACTTCGAAGGCCAAACTCTTTATACGCCCGTGTTCGGCTTGATAACAAAGGTAGTCGCGAGACCTGGAAAGCCCTCATGCATATTTCTGGCATCAAATCCTCATACCGTGCACCTGCTGCAGTGGACATAGATGGTCTGAATGAGAGTTTCATCAACAGTGGAACCGCTCTCAGTGCTCTACCTAATTAATTTGAAATAGGCATGACTGATCCCGTCTCTAGCGTTGCACCTGTCGATATTTATCAAGAGTTGGCTCGATTAAATCCTCACAAGTCCTGCGGCCCTGACGCAATGTCACCCGTTCTCTTGACACCTTTCTTTCAATCTTATTGAGTGAACTATTCAATGGTTGTATTTCATTGCAAGGTATATCCGACTGCTGGAGAATTGCCTCCATCACCCCTGCATCGAAGAAAGGAGCCGCAAAATACCGTCCCATTGCCTGCAGCTCAGATGTTTTGAAGGTATCTGAGAGGCTCCTCGTTAAGACCCTGTCTACACAATTCAATGTTGGTGACCCGAACCAGTTTGCATACACCTATTCCCGCGGTACCTTGGATGCCCTTGCTTACCTGTCGCACTTTGTATTCTCTAACCTGGGTAGGAAAAGCAAGGCTGTACGCATATTTTTTTCTTGACTACAGTGATGCCTTTCACACAATTGATCGACAAATTTTACTAGATACCCTCTCTTCGGTCAGAGTTCAACCTTCTACGATTAAACTCTCGGCCAATTATTTATCCAACCGTCAGCAGTTCACTTGCTATAAAGGTCATCTTCACTGCTGCCCTCCTCACGAGGCGTGCTGCAAGGCGCTATGTTATCCCCTTTTCTATTTTCTGCTTAAATTTCCTTTTTGCCTGCGAGCAATTCTTCTCTTCTTGTTAAGTATGCAGACGATCTAATAGTCGGACTGCCCTACTCCAACTCGTCAGTTCAAACCACTCTACAAGAAGACGTGTCAGAAATAGTTGAGTGGTCTCAACAAAGGAACTTCCGCAAGAACCGCCAAAAATGTAATGACGTAATTTTTTCCTTTTTTGAAAGGGTAAAAGTATGGTGAATTTTTAAATGCCGGCCCACCTTTATCTACATTTTGGTGACCAAATAGAACAACAACCGTCTGTCAAATACCTTGGCGCTATTTTCAACCATTACCTCACCTGGTCTGACCACGTTAGTGACTTTTTCTGAAGGTCAAGAGGCTCACGTTTTATGTTTTAACATGTTTTAATACACTGTCTATCCCAAACCATCTCATAAGACGTTTTTTTGCTTGCGTTTTGCCCCACTGGATTTATGGGTCCCCTGTTATCTTTCCTGGTCTTTTTAATAAGGACCTCAAACTCATTTTCCAATCCCTCAAGTTTCTGTCGGTTTGTAGTCTCATGCCACGGGCACATTTGGTGCAGTATGTGATGACACCACCTCAAGTCCTGTAAAACATTCTCCAACAAGATTTTATCTGATGTTTCCCATCCTGTTTATTCCGCCTTTAGTCAATGCCTTTCTCACTCATCCACGTGTTCCACTCACAAACTTATTAAGACACGCACTGAAGCTTACAGGCAGTCTATTGTCTCGTATCTCGCCAGATTTCTAACAAACAATTAACTCGTTGCAGGAAATCTGCTCCAAACGCTAAGCTAAATCAATCAGAAACATCCGGGTATGCCACTGGTTTCGGATGTTGCTATCCCTTTTCACGACTTCTAATTGTTATATTACACTGTTTTTTTCACATTTTGTTGATACGCTGTGGTTACCTCATCACTGAATATCAAAACGATTCCTTGAGTTGACTTAATTTGAATGTTGTCCTTTTTACATTTTCTATTTCACAGCTTTCTTAACTGAACTATATTATCATGTTAAATCAACATTTCCTTTGAAAAGAGTCTTTTTAAACAGTTCTCTCCGGTTTGAGCAGTTTCCGTTCTCAGTCAGTGACTTGTCATCTGCTCATCACAAATGTAATACAATTTATACAATGATGGGGAAGATAGATTAAACAGCTGTTTCGTGCTCAATAAAATTCATCAGTAGTGCGGGCTATGTTTGTGTTCTAATCGGAACTAGAACCGCCAATCTTCAAGTCGCGAGCCGGAACTAGTGTGCTAAAGCCACACAGTCAAAGGATCTCCCTCCAAGTGGGGTCATTTAATCCCCAAATTCACCCGTGAAATTTAACCAAATTCTCCATTACTCAATTGAAATAGGTTTTCAGGTTGTGAATGCTTCTCACCGAGTCATAACCCTGGAGGTTAGTGCTGAGATGAGCAGAGTCTGTGACCCGCAAAAAGCTCGCAAAGATGGGTTGTGCCATATTGGGTAAAAATAAAAACAAGAAACGGCCCAAACAGCTTCCCAGTGACCTAGTGGGTAGCATACTTCCGTCTTGCCTGTGAGGTCCAGGGTTCGCTCCACAGTTGGGTCGATGGATTTGCACTGTACAGATGAGACCCAATCAGGTCGAAACAGCTGTCCAGTGCTTCCTAGCTTTTCAGTTCACGCTTCATTTGCTATATACACGACAAATTCACCTGATAAATTAATCCCCAAAAGAAAAACACGAACTCTATGACATTCCCGCAATAATGGATCCTTGATCTTGGAATATTGCCCTATGAGAAGATTTGATATAATCTACGGTTGGTCCCTGATTTTAGCGAAATTCAGCTGCAGGGCCAGAGAAAGTCTACGGCAAACAAATTGTAATCGCTAGTTAATCGAAATAAATAACCCAGTTCCACCCAATTTTCACGGTTTTCTTTCGCGGGGAAAACACAGCATAGAACTACGCTAGCTGTCTTTCCATTCGTTATTGATCACAAGCCATGGTCACATGAAGTCACGAGAACCGAAACATATCTATGGGTTAGGGGTGTGGCTTCGCATTGGTTCACACATGATCGTGTAAATAGGACCTCGTGTAACGAGAACTGAATTCATGACAGAATGCTTTTTGTGCTTCCGCATGTTGTGATTGTGGATAGCGGAGGAGGGGCGAGTTCTATTATATCTCCACACTTAAACACAAAAAAGTGGTGAACAGATGGAAAGAAGCAATAGGTTCAGTACAAAACAATAAAATCCCGTTTATCAGATTAAATGAAAACCACGAGGTTTGTCCACAAAAGTACACTAATACTGAAAAGGTTAATTCAGTGGCGCACTGAGATAGGTCTATTATTTTTTATATGGAATTGTTATGAAGAGTCCAAGAATCACTTACCCTTAGAAAGCCTTTGAATCACTGTACAGCTACTTCATCAATCTCAAGAATCCTTAACAGTTTTACCTTGGGTATGTTCTCTTAGATGGAAGTGTGGTTCGCGGACTTTGCGTCTCCAGACCGAGCAACATCACCAGTGCGACTTCGGGAGAAGCCGAAGAACACACAAACACCAACACCCGCATCCCGAGCGACAATCATTCCACATCCTTAACAGTACTTATCCATCGAATGTTCTGGGATTCGAACTCGAGCATGACTAACTGTTGCTTGCAAGTGCTAATCATTAGAAATGCACATTAACACAGATAGGTACAGTAGTCATCACGGAGCTGAACACTGTTCAGTAATGTCTCCCACGTTCAACAGCAGTGTCGCATAAGTTCAGAACAATGTTGCGTTTCCCTCATTGGGAAGAAAGTACCTTAAACTGCATCCTAATATTCTCACATGTATTAGAGGAGAGCCGTGGTAGATTTAAAGACAGTTGAAAAATATGTCTTTTAATATAGTTGTACGTACTCAAGTGAACAAAAGATCAATGAAAAAACTTTGATAGAAAATGTTCAGCAATAAAACCTAAAATACGCAACATATTGGAAAAAGGCACGCAACTACAAGAAGCAGCTGCATACCAACTGTCAGCACTAGGCTAAAATCTGACAAAGAGGTAAGACGTGACATTAAAATGAATGGAAAACCTTGCTTCAAAACCCGTAACCAGTTTCATAACTATGGATGCGCATCAATGTTGTACTATCCTCCTTTAGGTTCTGCTATCGATAAATGATCCATTTCGTAAAAACTAGCACCTATAATTCAAGTTTTTTTGAAGGTATCAAAGTTTACAATACTAAAATCAGTGACATTCATTTCTCTATACGTACACTTTAAAATTTCTCAACCCCAAAAACAATCAGTCTCTAAAATGCCCCGCTTTATAGGGCCAGAGGCTTCCAAAGTTTTGCCAATCTATCGTCTCCTTGAAGACTCAAATTTGATAGGTCGTCAGCGCAGTCATTTGATTGGACGATTTTAGTGACTCATTCATTGTTTACCATTTGGTATAATAAATTTGAATTATCAAAATGGAACATGTGCGGATTTGGTTTACTGTTGCTACTCACCGCCCAGTTTTATGATTCCGAATGAACAGGAGCGTACCTATCAATCAAATGCTTGAAATGTTTTACATATCAGCAGGACTGAAATCCACATGGAACTCGGAATCGAACATGCTTGTTAGTGTTTTAATCGTATAGTGAATTATTAAAACCGCCTACTGAGTACGAATTAAACAAAATGTATGTGCAGTAGGCGACGTTGTTTACCAATAATGCATGCGAATGTAAAATCGGTACTGGGAAGTTCCAGTCGTAGGAACTGTGGTATACTAAAAGCCTATGAGATTTGATACTGGCGTAGGCTAGTTCGAATTCAAAACATCTAAAGGATGACTTATTTGCTGACAAGGAATGTTTGCAATGAATGCTTTTATAGATGGTCTGTAATTGCTTATCTAATAACCTTTTTAGATTTGTAGTGAAGCAAGAAATGTAGATAAAACTGCATTGTGATTCTCCGGTTGATCGTAGGAAACACTGGACATCACTTGGTGAAACGAAACGCTTCTTTTGTGACGCAATGCCACGAGTGAAATGCTTCCTCTAATAGTGACGGCGAACCACAAGAACCTTCTTGGTTCAAATCGAATCTAGCTGCAAACCCTTTCTTGCGTTAGAAGGCATTTTGTGAATGTCTGAAGAAGCATATCTAACTGGTTGGAGTGATAATCAGATGAAAAACAAACACAATTAACTCAATAAATAAATATTTTTGCTTTTTCTGATTCAGCGTAGCTTTGTTAAGCACCGTGTGAACAATTACTGTTGATGTGTGTGCAGTATCGAACCTGGATCAGAAAAGTTCAGTTCGACTTTTTCGTCCCATATG